GGCTCCTAAAAACCAAGCTCACTGCCATCCTTCGAACCAATATCAACTCATATCAACCTTGTAGGATATAGTAGAATATAGCAGAGATAATAGAACTACCACTGTGGGTTTCTGAGACTGTAAATCGTTATGGGTATAGAAAGCCTCGTCTTTCTCCCTTAGAGAAGTGAGTGGTTTCAAACTGCTAACCTGCAGTTAGCAGCCCAACATTGATTGACTCTTCTTCCAGGGCTCTAGCTCTGAGTCACTATGAGTCAGAATCAAGTTCACGACAGTGAGTTTGAGTGGTAAGGGGGTCAGTCATGGTGAGGTATGTACATCATAGAAGAACAAGCATTTGAGTCAAAAGGACAGCATTTTTCCAAATTCAGACCAAGTTCAGAAGAGTAAGGAAAGATGAGGAATGGAAACAGGAAACAGGATAAGGAAGTGAAATACATTTTGTTACATTGAAGGGGTTACAACAAATGAGATGAAACAAAATGCGTATGAGTTGTTGAATGCAAAACTGATTATCCATTCTATAAACATTTCTTCAACTCACACTACAAAGTAAAAATGAATAAAGAACCCTTGTGGTGCAGTAGGTAAGTACTCAACTGCTAACCAAAATGTTGGTGGTTTGAACCAACCTAGTGGCTCTGCTCCCATAAAGGTCAAACAGAAAACTATACTCATTGCCATCGAGTGGATGCCGACTCATAGCGACCGTATAGGACAGGGTACAATTTCCCCTGTGAGTTTCTGAGACTGTAACTGTTTTTAAAAAAACATTTTCTTGGTACATTATGCACATATCATACAATTCAACCATATCAAAAAGTTGTACAATCAATACCACAATCCATTTTAGAACATTTTCTTCTTTCTTGTATCCATTGTTATTAGGTTCCCATTTATCCCCAACCTCTCCTGCCATACCCCCCAAGAAACCATTAATCCAGGTACTGTCTCTGTAGATTCACTCATCCCGGATTTCATACATCAAAAAACATACAAAAACAAGGAAGAAAGAAACAAAAAAACTAATAACAATAATAAATAGAGAAAAACCTTAATCAAAAGAAAGCAAAAAATATTCAAAACTAGAATAACTTTAAAATGGTTCAGAGGGGAGATCAAATGATAAGGTGTTAAACTTTTGCCTCGCTGTATCTCCCATAGCCCACTCTCCAATGCAGTCTGCTTGACAGCAAGGCTGTTCACACCCCTGGTTTAGGATCAGAGGGGATTCACCAGAGGCTTAAATCGATGGGTATTTCCTCCTTCACTTTTTTCTTTTTAAACTGAGACAATGTCAAATGGATTAAAAGGGAGATCAAATAAGATAAGACATTTTAAAATAACTTTACGATAATCCTCACAACAATGCTCTCTGCTAACAAGGCTATTCATATCTCTTGACTTTGATCGAGGGAAGTCACCCAAGGTTTAATCTAAGTGTGGACCCTGAAAATGCAGTCTGGGCTTCCACTGTTGTCCAGAGCCTCTGCAAACTGAGTGTTCACCATTTACTCTCTGATGCCATTCCCTCCTTCAGATTTGGAATGTATTGTTTAGAATCCTTGGATCTAAACCTAGAAGCCTGGTGTCTTTCTTCCATGTGGACTTTGTTGATGTCTCACTTCGATGGCTGCTTGTTTGAAGACAAGCCTTTAAGCCCCCAGACTATATATATTCTTTCTGATAGCCCGGTGCCATCTAGTTTCTTCACCATACTTTTCAATAGCACTCATATCTTCAAAGATCTCTTCATGACGGTGAGTATCAAGCAGGGTCATCATCCAAGACTGGAACTCTTTATGGGAGTAGAAAGCATTGGCTTTCTCCCTCCAAGTGGCAATTGGTTTCAAATTGCCGACCTTGAAGTTAGCAGTCCAACTTGTAACTATTATGCCACTAGGACTCCTTCTCCATGAAGACGCACTCCTTCTGCATCACACCCTAAAAACTTATTTCCATTTGCAGAAGAATGAAGCAGGAGTCGTACCTCACTCAAAGACGCCGTAATAAACTGTACTTGCAAACATACTACCAAACTGAAAAACAAACACAGAGACAGCAAATGGAAGACAAAATATATAACTAGAACTGTCCAAATATAAGAAACTAAATTTTAAACAAGAAACATGCATCAAAAGAGTCAAAAGGCAATGAAAGACACACCAGCCGGTGCAATCATGAGGTGTCGACGGGATGAGGTATCAGGCATCATCAGAACAAAAAATCCTATCACGTAAATGAGGGGAAGTGCGGAGTGGGGACCCAAAGCCCATATGTAGGTAATTGGACATCCCCATACGGAAGGGTCGCGGGGAGGAGACGAGCTGGTCAGGGTGCAGTGTAGCAACAATGAAACATACAACTTTCCTCTAGTTCCTAAATACTTCCTTCACCGCCCCGCCCCCCCACTATCATGATCCCAATTCTACCCTACAAATCTGGCTAGACCAGAGGATGGACACTGGTACAGATAGGAGCTGGAAACACAGGGAATCCAGCACAGATGATCCCTTCAGGACCAATGGTGAGAGTGGCGATACCGGGAGGGTGGAACGTAGGTGGGGTGGAAAGGGGGAACGGATTACAAGGATCTACATATAACCTCCTCCCTGGGGGACAGGCAACAGAAAAGTGGGTGAGGGGAGACGTCGGATGGTGCAAGACATGACAAAATAATAATTTATAAATTATCAAGGGTTCAGGAGAGAGGGAGGAGTGGGGAGGGAAGGGAAAAAATGAGGAGCTGATGCCAGGGCTTTAAGTAGAGAGCAAATGTTTTGAGAATGATGAGGGCAATGAATGTACAAATGCGCTTTACACAACTGATGTATGTATAACTTGTGATAAAAGTTATATGAGCCCCTAATAAAATGATTTTTTTTAAAAAACAAGATAAAAAAGGATTAGAAATGTAAGAGTGAACTAACTTTCAATGATAGGAATGAACTAACTGGAAAAGGGGGTGGGCATGCTAGACTGGACACAGATCTGATGAGACCATTTTCCTTTTAAATCTCTTTTACATCTTACTTTTCTGAATAAAGTCTCCTTTGGGGAAAAAAAAGTCAAAAGAGGACCCACAAAAAAGTGGAGAAAATGTTTACAATGATACATCAGACAAGGGATTAATCTAAAAAATCTTTGGTAAACTGCAACACCTCAACAAGAAAAAACTAATAATCCAATTGAAAAAATGTGCAAAGGGCATGAACAGACAGCTCACCAAAGAAGACATCAAGGCAGCCAACAAACATCTAAAGAAATGCTTCTGTCATTAGGTGTCCGAGAAATGCAAGTCAAAACAACAATCACACATCCTGGTGGGAATATAAAACTCTAACCACGGTGGAGATCAGTGCGGTGCTTCCTCAGAAGACTGGGGATAGGAACAGCATGGTCCTGTGCTTGCTATAGACCCTAAAGAAGTCAGAGCCACACACAAACAGATATGTGCACACTCGTGTTCATTGCAGCACTATTCATGACTGAGCGCTTGACTGCCGTTTCCAGGAGCATGCACTGTAGAGCTAAGCAAGAGGAAATTCTTGATCACGTTTATATACACATCCAGAAGACCTTCTACTGGAAATCTTAGTTGTATAAGTCTGGGGATGGGAGCTGGAAATATGTTTTAAAAGCCCTGGGAGCAATTATTAAAAGTTATGGAGGACTAATGAGAACAGCAGGATTTTAGATCCATTTTCACGAAGTCTTGGAGCTAAAAGGTACTATCGCAAATGTATGGATTGTGATAAGAGTTGTAGGAGCCCCCGATAAAGTGATTAAAAAGAAGAAGAAGAAGAGTTTCAGTAATAGGAAAACTAGGCCTTGGGCGCAAAGCTATGGAAAAGGCGAGCTTGATAGGAGGCAGTTCAGAGAGAATTCACATGCTCTCTCTGTACGACTGGATCTTGCCGAGGTTGTGTTGGGCTCCTTGCATCTGTGGGTGTTTAGTTCTCAATAAAGTTTGAAAATCTTTGGTCGTCATTTTTTCAAAATGTTCTATTCCATACCATCCTCATCTTCTTAGGACTTCAGTTGTATATATATATATATATACACACACATATATAAAATCGCGCGCTATTATTCAAAGAGTGAAATGAACTGAACCCTTCACGACCTTTTTCTTTCTGTGTTTCATTTCATATAGATTCTATTGGTGTGTCTTCGAGTTTATTCGTGTTTTCTGCAATGTGTTATGTGCACTTGGTGTGTTGTAATGGATGTTTTAGTTTAAATGTTGTGCTTTTCATCTATAGTTTTATTTGACACTTTTTATCCCTATTCTGTTTCTCATTACATTCATTTTGCTTTTAACACTTGTCCAGAGCTAGAATAACTTAAAGTTGTTTTCTGTTAGTTCCACTGTTTAATTTCTGTTGATTAACTTTTTGTTTCTGCTCATTAAATGTTCTTCCAGGTAACGGATAATATTTTCCTCTTTTTTGCATATCTAGTAATTTTTATAGGATTCTGCATATTATTACTGTTCCCCCTTTCTCCGTGCGGCCTGGGAATTGTTGTCCCAGTCCCTCTCTGCCTGGCCTCATACTGTCTACTCTGCTCGTGTGGCCTTCTGTCCAGCAAGCACTCCCAAGAGTTCATCTACAGATATCTGGAACTCCTTCCTTTCTGGAATCGATCTCATCTGCCTCCTGGAACTCTGAGCTCCGCTTCCTCTCCACGGGGAAGCGCTCTGGATGTTCGTTCCCTCCCTGCCCACAGTCTGGAACTGTCTTCAGGCAGTGCTCTGAGGTAGTGGGAAGGCCTGTCTCCTTGGTGTCCTGTCTCTGACTTCAGCACCTTGTGCCGCCTGTTGTTGAGTATCTGACATTATTAGTCCATGGGTTTTGTCCAATTTTCTAGTTTATTGGAGATAAATCCACTCATTCCACCATGGAGTCAATGCGCCATACTTTGCTTGGGGGTGGGGGGATTGTGCATTAAATCCCTTAGTCCTGGGTGTCATTCTCAGTCTCATTTTATTATTTCAGGGTATCAAGCCAGCCAGCTTTGAGAAAGTGCATGATCCTGAGATCAAGGAGATTATTGGAGAGTGTATCTGTAAAAACAAAGAGGAAAGGTGAGTCTTGTGGTTGGGCTTTGTGAAGTTTCTCCAGGTGAATTATCCCAAGTGGTATTTGGAATTGTATTCTTCCCAAGAAAAGGAGAGCTTCAAAATACAGCAAAACTGGTTCAGGATCTTGGCCTTCAGAACGGCTGCTGCGCGCAGAGTGGCCCTGAGTGCACACCACACCAGTGACATCTGGGCCGGTGTATTGGTGTCTCCAACTTCTGGGTTAACACTCTGCTGCAACGCCCTACCCGCTGTCTCTTTTCTCCTTTGAAACCTCTTCCTTCCCCTACTTCGCCTTTACTGGCTGAGGCCCCGTGGATCTGCTTTTCTCTCTTTGCTTGTTTTCTTTCTCTACATTGTCCCCTAGATGGGTTTATCCATGTCCGTGAACTTAGATAATATAATGCTTCCATGCCATCTTCAATCCTGACCTCTCTTCCGAACATCAAGCTATCTACCTCTGCTGCATACCCATTTGACCATCACAGAAGTAGCATGTCCAATCAGAGGCTCTCCATAGAACCCACTCTCCCACCTCACGTCAGGGCCTTCCTTCCCTAGTTGTCAGCCAGCAGCTGGGGCTGCATCAGGAGCTTCCCACCTGCCCTAATTCCTCCATCCCTTTTCAGCCTCCTCCTTCCTCCTCCGAATGTTTCTTTTCCCATCAGCCTCCTTCTACCTTCGGTCCCCCTCCAGGCCCTCCTCCTTCTCCTTTTCTCTTGCCCAGTCTCTCAACCCTGCTCTTCCCACCCCTCCTCCTCTACTACTTCTCCCCTCTGTCCTTCCCTTCTTGCTATCTTTCTGTCTCCTCCCCTGCCCTTTCCCCGTCACTGTGTGCTGTCAGTCTCCCCCAGTGCTGACCATTTTGAGTATTCCCACAGCTGCGCTCCCCATCTCCCATAGCAGGAACCCTGCCCAGGACCTGTGTGCTTTCTCTCCTGCCACCTGCACTGTAGACTTCAAGACCCAAAACAAAACAAAACAAAAAAGCTAGAATATTCTTAAATTTAATCCGCATCTGAAAAGTTCAGAAACAACAGTGTAGAGCCAAACCCTGTGAGATGACCACCTGATCAAAAAACAGCACTGCCAGCCCCCTATGTCCCCCGTGAAGGGCATGCAGCCTCTCTCTCTCCTCCCCTAAGGTGGCACTGTCCTCTCTGGAAAACACCACCTGGAGGCATTTGTCATCTGTTCGGAAATCACAGCTGTCCCACATTCCCCTCCTGGGCACCGACCCACAGAACATGTGCCCGTGACCCCAAGCAGTGAAAGCCGTGAACTGGTGACACACGCCAGGACTTTGATACTGAGAAATATGGCCAGTGGTAGAAGCCAGACTCCAAATGCTATCTGCCATAGGGGTCCATGTGTACTTAACACCAGGAAAAGGAAACGGAAATTAGTGTTTAGGGATGGGTGTTGGGGTGGCAAGGTAATAAAGAAGAGCGGTATGTGGTTGTCATGGTATCTATTCCTTCTCCACAGAGCCCCCAGACTCCAGGCCCACTCATACCGGAAGGAGGGCCTCCTGAGAATGTGGCCGCTTCGGTGGGGGGTGTGGGGGGGGGGGAGGTTGGGCCACTCAAGCACTTTGCCTTTGTCCTTTCTTGCCACTTGGCAGTAAGCCCAGCAGGCAGGGCATTGCCATCCTAGGGACTTGGGTGACCAGTGAGGTCCACTAGCATTTCAGTGCTGCTTGTGGCTGCATCGTGGAATAGCTTAGAACATAGCTTATCACAAATTCTTCTCTAGAGTTGCTTAATTTTGTGCAATGAGCAGCGTTTATTTTTAAATTAAGGGTGGAAACAAGAAGTCTTAAAATAGACCACATTGCTTTATAATGTCCCCTCCTCTCTTGGGCATTAAGAAGTGCACATGAGAGCTGTATGTGCTGCTTGCAGGGGCAGAGCTTGGCCTGCTAGTCGGGTTGGGCAGAGGCAGAACTTTCCAGGGACAAGGGCTCTGTGGGTCCTTTTGCTGACCTCTCCCATGACTGTGCCAGACCCCCCAGGAATCTGGCTTGGGAGAGCCCTTGTCTGGGTATGTGTGCCCCATGTGGCTACCTGCCGGGTCAGGATGCTGCCCCTCCCTTAGGTATGAAATCAAGGACCTCCTGAGCCATGCTTTCTTCGCGGAGGACACAGGGGTTAGAGTGGAGCTGGCAGAGGAAGACCATGGCCGGAAGTCCACCATTGCCCTCCGACTCTGGGTGGAAGACCCCAAGAAGCTGAAAGGGAAGCCCAAGGACAATGGGGCCATAGAGTTCACCTTTGATCTTGAGAAGGAGACACCGGATGACGTGGCGCAGGAAATGGTAATGCACACACGTCCACCCCCACAGGGTGCGTGGGCTGGGCTTGGAGGGCGGGCTGTGTTCCCAGAGGTTAGAATGGAAGCAGTCCTGTGCCCCTAATGCCCAGAAAGAGGGTGACCCAGAAGAGTGCAGCCTAGGGGGCAGCTTGTGGCAGGGAAGGGAAGGTGTGCAGACTAGCGGTACCTACCACGCTTGTAGGAGAATGTGTGGTAAATGGGGCAAATGGACAGGAACGTTCAGTGTATCTGGATAGGTTTTGCTTGGTTTGAGCAAACTCTTGCTAACTTAGCTTAAATGTGATGGCTTTGAATTGGAGCCGTTTGTTTTGTTTTGTCTTTCGGGAATGATTAGGGTCATTTTCAGTTCTGGCTCCTGTTTCCTTTTCCATGGAAAAAGATGAAAATGAGAATAATCTTTCCTCTCCTCTCTTTCCCCCCTCCTCTCCTCCCTGGACTGTTGCCCCAAAGGCTTGTTGTCTGGGTGAAGCCCAGTGAGGGGAAGGTGGACTGATACCTGGCATGATGCCACGTTTTCCAGGCTGTCCATGGGGCCTGCTGGTGGCAGACCTTGACTCTGGTCTGGAAGAGCCATGGATCCCGTGTGGGTGAGCGAGTGCTGCTGAAGGAGTTTGGATAGGTAGAGTGGGAAGCCTTCTGGAAAGTGAAGAGTTGGAGCTAGACTGCTGACAATGGGCTCGACTACATGGGAGAGAGCGCTTCCTGGGCCATATACGGTTCCTCCTGTGGAGGCGTTGGAAGGCTGATGGGTCAGAGGTAGCAAGTCAGTTCCCACCGGGACTCCTGAGCCATAAAAATACACAGAGGGCCTGTACTGGGGCTACCGCTAACTTCTCCCCAGTGCCTGATGGGCCTCACCCTCCTGGGGCCCCATTGCCTGGAGGTTTGAAAGAAACCACTAATGCACACCTGAGGTCAGGGAGGGCCACCTGGTGGGGGACTTTGCTTGGGACTCTGGTGCCTTGGTAGGGCCCTGCCTCAGGGGCAGTGCCTGCCCTGTGTACATTCAACTCTGTTCGGAGTCTTGGTTGGGAGCCAAGACTGTGCTGACATGGTTAAATTCCCAGAACCCTCCTTTCTGTAGGGTTGAACGCAATGGCTGCTATCATTGCTTACAAAAGTATCTTTGGCTTGATAGTGCTCATGTTGAGAAAGATAGTGTGTAATTTTTATTTTTATCTTTTAATTCCAATAGTCCAAGAACTTTTTCAAGTCCCCCATTTTACATAACTCATACAGGTGGTGTCTAAGTTTCCTGGGAAGGCAGAAACAAATAAACACACATTTGGGTGGCTTAACACCACCAAAGGCCGAAGGTCGGCAAACTGCACCTCTCAAGCCATCTGCAGCCCTTTCAGTCTGTACATGAGGCTCTGAAGTAAAATTGAAAATAAAAATTGAGCTATCATAGTTTCATTTAAAAGATGTCATTCAGATCATGGTGATTTCATTTGCTTATGAAAACTATATTAATGGCTCTCCAATAATTTTTAAATTGTTGTGAGGGACAGAATTGTCTCTTTCATCTCGAAAGTTTGCCAACCTTTGCTGTAGGGGATACTTTTTTTCCTACCTCTGTTTCAGCTTCTCATGACCTGCCGTGGCTTGTAGCAGCAATCGTCACTGCCCTTATGTTGACACGTGTGTGCTAATGTCATCCACTTTTCTTTTGTAAGGGTACCAATCACATATGAGTCGGCCCCCCCACTCCAGCATGATCTCATGTGAACTGACAATGTCTGCAAAAATCCTATTTCCAAACAAGGTCATATTCACAGGTTACAGGGTAGGACTGGAATGTATCTTTCTGGGGAAAGGGGAGGCACAATTCCATATGCAATGGACTATACAGAGAAGAGAGAGCTTATGAACGCTGAGGTTTAGAAAATGCTGGTGGAGTGCTGAGACACGTTTAGGAGTTTAATTGTTTGAAGAGAGCTTGAGTCCCTCCAGCTGAGTTACCTGGGGTGAAGGAGGGGGCTGGTCCCAGGAAGAATCTCTAGGCCTTTGTTCAGATGGACAGGCTTCTGCTGCCTTTCCCTGTCCTGACACCAGTTCATCCTTGACCTAGCCTCTTGAGCCAACCTCGGGCCAGATAAGCCTGGATCTGCGCTGTGTTTCAGAAAGTTTCCTTTCTTCCAGATACTTGCTTGCTCCCTAGTTTTTCATTGTTGATTGAATCAACAAAAATACTTTCACATTTTATATATATGAAAGTACTATAAATGCAATGCCAGAAACCAGCTGTCATCAAAATGTAACTTTCAAAATTGAAACCTTTTCCTACCCCCACCCCACCCACCCATATCCAGGTAGACTCAGACCTTGGTCTGCTTTTTGTGGATTAAAAACACGATTACCACATGTTGGGTGTCAAAATATGCCCTGGAATCCCAGTGAGACCTTCTTAAGGCTATTTGAACATTTTAAGAATGCAACTTCCTTGAAAATCCATTCTCAGATAGTCGTACAGGTCATAGGAGAGGAAGGCGTGCGGGAGAGGCTTGCAGGAAGCTGACCTCGGACCCCCTGAGGAGCGGGAGGATGCTCACAGCCGAACAGCTGGCGCAAAGCAGGAGCAGAGCTTATAACCAAACCCAATGGCTCCTCATCCTACATACAATCAAGCTCTGTGGACTGCATGGGAGCTAAATCCTTTAGCATCCAAGGAAAAGCAGGAAATGCTGCGGAAAGGAGCAGCATTCAAAATGGGGAGAGATGAAAGAGAAGTAGAAGGAAAGCGTAGGTGTGGCAGCAGTGCCCAGCAGGAAAGAGAAAAGGACAGACTGGGATGTTCTGGTGCCTAGACCACCTCGGTGCCATCTGTGGTCATGTCACCTTGAACTGATGAAACACCTGGGGGTGGGGGTAATCGAGTGGGTAACCAGGAGCTAGTAATCCTGTGAGCCAGTTGGTAGAATTAGTTGCTGACCAGTAGTGGCGATCAAGGTGAGGGTTCTTGTGCAAGGCTCTGCTAGGGTTGTGTGACGTGGAAAGCTGTATCCAAGTGGGGGTGGCCAGCCCTGTGGTTGGGGACAGCCCCCTGCCCCACTGCTGCCCCCTGTGATCAGGGTCCGAAGCTCTAGAGCAAAAGGAAAGGTCTGCTCCTTACTCTTGGAGGCCAGAAATGAGGGCGTCATGCCTGACTTCGTGCCTGCACGTGGACAGTAGAGGTTTTTATAACCTCAGGGCTGACAGATCTTGTTGTCTTTGAGGTTTCTGCTCACACCTTTGTATCTGGGTGCTCTGTCCATCAGAGGTCTCTTTGCTTTCTTTTATTGTGAATATGTGTGTGTGTGTATGTGTGTGTGTGCCATTTTAGCTATTTTTAAATGTACAACTCAGTGACTTTAATTACATTCACTATGTCGTGACTCCATTGGCTCCATCTATTTCCCAAAGTTTTGTATCACCCAAAAGAGAAATGAGTACCCCAATAGCCCATTTCCTTCTCCTACTTACCCCTGGTAACTGCTAATAACTGCTGGTCTCAATGCATTTGCCTGTTTGGTATTTTTTAGAAGTAAAGTGGTCAATGGTAAAGTAAAATGCCAACGTGTTGGTATTTTGTAGAAGTAAAGTGGTCAATGGTAAAGTAAAATGCCAATGTGTTGGTATTTTGTAGAAGTAAAGTGGTCAATGGTAAAGTAAAATGCCAACGTGTTGGTATTTTGTAGAAGTACTGTTGTGTGGCATCTGCCCTTTCGTGGCTAACCTTACTTACTCAACATGCTTTCATGGCTCTTCCATGTTATAAAAACTCACTGCCATCCAGTCAGTTCTGACTCAGAGTGGCCCTGAAGCGCAGGGTAGGCAGCGCTGCCCCTGTGGGTTTATGAAATGCTAACTCTTTACAGGAGTAGAAAGCCTCATCGCTCCCCCCAAAGAGTGGCTGGTGGTTTTGAACTGCTAACCTCTAAGCTAACAGCCCAACTTGGAACCACTATACGACTTGGGTTTCCGTCTATGTTATAGCATGCATTAAAAGTTCCCTTTTCTCTAGAGCTGAGTGTTCTTCCATGGTATGAATGGGCAACATTTTGTTTGCCATCTATCAATGACAGGGTTTACTTTTAAAAAAATCAAAAACATACATACATCTTGCAAATATACAATGAGGAGCTTTTCAGAAATAAATTCTTTTTTTAAAACAGTTTTAATGGCATATAATCCACATAGCATATATTTCAATAGTCCAGTCACATTGTGAAGAGTTGTACAGTCAACCTCCCTTCCTGCCATACCCCCTAGAAAACACTACCCCAGTCACTATCTCTATAGATTTACCTATCCTGGATTTTATATACCAAAACAAACAAACTAACTAAAACAGAAAATCCTCAATCAAAAAGAGAGCAGAAAACATTAAAAAGGAGAACAAATGTAAAATGGGTCAAAAGAGAGATCAAATGATAAGGTGTTCATTTGAACCTAACTGCATCTGTAATAATCCACTTCCCAATGACACTGTGCAAGGCTATTTGCATCCCTGGTCTTGACCTAATATTTCTTCTCCGCAATGTCTGTTTGAGTGTCTGCTCCTTACAGACAAGCAAATTTTCCTTCATTACCACTAGCTGTCAGCAAAGTAGGTTAGCAAGGATCCTCAAAGCCTTTTGTCCTCAGACCTCAGTCCGATTTTGTTAGCTATCCGGAAGTCCTAAGTTGGTAGCACAAATCGTGTCCTGTATTTCATGGCCACGCCTCTGTAGTCTTTGAGCACAGTCTCTCACCGTGGGACTGTCTCTCAGGTTGACTTTTTCCACTCTTGATCCCTGACTACACCCAGATATGGGTCTCTGGCCGGAATTCCCCCAGTGTGGGGCTGGTCCCCACCACATCCTGCCTGGTGGCACTTACCATACCTGTGTTCCACCACTGACCCGGCCACCTCCTGGTTGAGGTGGCGTCTACCGCTTTCTCCACCAAGAAGTTCTTCTTTGCCCTCTTTAACGAATAAGTATTTTGTGAGGGATGTACCTTAAGTGTAACCTTTTCATCAAACTTTAAGGAGCCCTAGTGGCATAGTGGTTACTCCTTGGGCTACTCACCGTAAGATCAACAGTTCAAAACCACCAGCCAGCACCGAGGGAGAAAGACGAGCCTTTCTACTCCTGTTAAGCATTACAGTCTCAGAAATCCACAGGGGCAGTTCTACCCTGTCCTGCAGGGTTGCTATAAATTGGCGTTGACTGGATGGCAGTGAGTTTGATTTTTACTGTTTTGAACTTTATTGTGTTGTCTATATTTGTATGGATGCAGTTAATAACAATAGAACTTAAGATGAGGATGGAACTATGGACCAGAAACCCCTGACAAGCAGGAAAGGCCAGGTACCCACATGTGGATGCAGGGTGCAAGGACAAGCTTTGGGGTTCCTGGGACGCTAACCAACTTGGTGGCCTCATTGCAGATTGAATCTGGATTCTTCCATGAGAGTGATATGAAGATTGTGAGCAAGTCGATCCGAGACCGGGTGGCACTGATCCAGTGGCGGCGGGAGAGAATCAGACCTGCCCTGCAACCCTCGGAGACGCTGGCCACTGAAAGCCTGGACAAGGCCCGGGGCCCCAAGGCGCCATTGCAGGTCCAGGTCACATATCATGCTCAAGGTGGGCATCCGATCCCCATGGAAACAGAGGAGCCCGAGGCTGACCAGCACCTCTTCCCACCCAAGCTCCCAGCCAGCGCCACCTCCCTGGCATGTGAGTCTTCTCTGCAGCAGGCGAGCTGAGCTCCTAGCCTGCAACAGGGGGTCCCTAGAGGCCCAGTGGCAAGCAGCTGTTTGGCGAGGAGAAGTTTGCTGTGCTATGTTAAGGTGCTCTGTGGGGAGGATGATCAGTGGTGTGGCTTTGAAGGGTGATCAGTTGAGGCTTCTTAAGTGTCCCTAGTAAGCTCTAGGGGGCCACCCATACCCCACGGAGCTCAATCTACTGTTAGAATCCTAAAGGCAATGTCTGTAATGGGCAACTACTGCCTGGCGAGCCTGGTAGGTAGTTCACAAAGCAGAGATGGGATGGCATAATTCCTTGGCACGAGAGTTCTGGCCCAGCATAGGGTTCAGTTTCCAGCCCCAGTAGGGTTGGACTCTGCCCCATACATCACAGTATGACCAGGGCAGTGTAAAGTTCACGAAATTTCAGTTTTTCGGGACAGATGGCCTGGGGTGCAACGGGGCGGAGAGGTCAGTGTGCACCTGGTATAGAGCTCCTGTGGCCTGACCAGGGTTTTCTCACTCTGCCCCGACCCCCACTTCCTCCCTGTGGACTTGGAGCAAGTTCTCCTCCTCAAGGGATACTAGGTACTACCTTACCAGGTGAGTGTGGGGCAATGGGAACACAAGGTTCAGTACAGAGTTGCAGTGCGTGGGGGTCACCTGAACCTCTCTTGCTGCAGCTGCCAACGGGAGGAGCAGGCTGGTGGCCTTCCATGGTGGTGTCTGCCTCCCAGGTCTCCTTCCCTGACATCCCCTCAAGCCTAGTGTCCAAACCTTTGAGATCGTACAGTCACATGATATAAAATCCAAAAAGCGTGAAGGGAATGTGATAAACATTCGCTTAGTTTTACTCCCTAGAGGTCACTGATGTTAACCAGTTTCTCTACTGTCCTCTCCGAGAAAACCTAGTACCGAAAGCAATGACACACCTGCACGTGTGTCCCTCCTTCTGCTTTCATTACACAAACGGAGCTCACCAGACCTGTCCTTTGTGCCTGCTGCTGATGGTCCCCTCTGGGAACCTGGAGACCGCTCTCTTTCTTTCACCTGGTCGTGTGCTAGTGCGGTGATTGATTTCACAGGCGTGAACACCAACCTGCAGCCCCATAGTCGAGGAGAGAGTCTTGCCTTTCCTACAGGAGTGGCGAACAGATCCACATCTGGATGTCCTGAGATGCAACAAGGGCACCATTTGTTATGACTCTCCACTGTCCCTCCACCACTGGCGGTCACATTGCCCTGCCCCAGTGCGACAAGACGTCCTCGACTGTAGCCCAGTGAAACCCATCAACGGAGACCGCACAACTTTGCCAGTGGTTTGGTAAAAAAAAATTTTAAGATGGGCCAATTTTTAATTACATCAATAATAAATGTATCCATATGCTTTTTTAAGTGAGCTTGCCCTTATTCCCTTTCCGTAAGTATATGCTAGTCAGCTCATTAAAACCAGAGTCTAAATAAATAAAAACCAGAGTCTAATTGGGTCTGCACCATCACTGTTCAGCATTTCTCATGTCTTCTGGGTTAAAATGAGTTTGGATTATTTTATTTTAGGATTATGTTAGTGAAAATCCAACAAGATTTCCCTTTCTGATTTTACTATTATTGTAAATGGACACACTATGTCATCTGAAAGGGGCTTCCTTTTGAAAACAGCTTCATATTCTTACGTGGCAGACTCTGTAGCTTTAGGAATCTGGAAAGCATGGGCCACATATGCAGTGGTAAACACATGCTTTCTCGTCTACGCTGGTGTGCGTGGTTGGGGTGAGCCTCTTTTCCTGGGTATGTCATAGGCCTGGGGGAGGGGCTTTGCATGTGCACCTCTGTGTCCATCTCACTGGGCTGATGTGGGCTCTGGCCAAAGGGAGCGGTGTCTCCTTGGGCTGTGGAAGCTGGTGTTCGATGCCAGCTCCCAAGGTCCCCATGTACCGAATGCCCATGGTCCACTCTCGCAGCTTCTCTGTGGGGCAGAGACCTCCCCTTCTCATGCTCTGTCCAAGTTAGACCAGGCCCTGTGGCTATGGAGACTTGGATTTAGGCCCAAGACTTCCAGCCTCATATTTCCGGCCACATTTAGTGGTGATATTGAGTCCAGAAACTCCTCCCCCAACATCTAACCTGTGGACCGGGGGTCCTCAAACTTTATAAACAGAGGGCCAGTTCACTGTCCCTCAGACCCGTTGGAGGGCCAGATTATAGTTAAAAAACAAAACAAAACTATGAACAAATACCTATGCACACTGCACATATTTTATTTTGAAGTAAAAAAACAAACGGAGCAAAAACACCCGGCGGACCGGATAAATGTCCTCGGCAGGCCACATGTGGCCACGGGCCATAGTTTGAGGATGCCTGCTATACACAAAAAGTCTTTATTCCACTAGCCCCTTCAGTGGCCCTAGACCTCTTAACAGCTCAGAAAAGCATCAAAGCCTTGAAATGCTGGTCGTTCCAATGGAAATTTCTTTCCACCGTGGAAATAGTAAGTGGATACCTTAGAGACAGAAGGAGGTCAGAGGTGGCCAGGAGGCTCTGTTGAAGAGGAGGTACACTTGTAACCTCGCTACTTGCTCCATATAGCATTTAAAACAGCATACGTGTATTATTTACGTCATCAGATACAACTCCGTGTTTGGCACGGGTTAGCTGACTGTTAGTGTCTGGCCTAGCGTTTCTGGTGTTTTCCCCCCATGGGAAACCTGTGAAAAGCTATAGTCGGGGTGATTTCAGAGGGGTCCTCCCTGAGCCATGTGCTTTTGTTCTCTGTAGCAGACAGCACGTTCGACAGTGGCCAAGGCTCCACTGTGTACTCAGACTCGCAGAGCAGCCAGCAGAGTGTGGTGTACAGCTCCATCCCAGACACCCTGCCCTGCGTCTACAGCCCCCCGGTGAGTGAGGGGCCTAGCCTGCCGAACAGCCTGCCTACCCTGGGTGCCTACCAGCAGCCCACTGTGGTAAGTAAACCTGTTCCATCCTGTCCACTTTGCCCGAGAGGTGCGGTGTTAGCCTGTATTGCCGTCGAGTCACTGCCAGCAAGTCGATTCTGACTCAGATCCACTCTGAAGGGCAGGATAAAATGGTTGCTTTGCGGTTCTGAGGCTATAAATCTCTATGGGAGCAGAAAACCTCAGCTTTATCTCTTGTAACAGCTGGGGGCTTCAAGTTGCTGACCTTGTGGTTATAGTAGCCCAGCACATAGCCCACTACACTACCAGGACTCCTTAGGAAAGGCTAATGGCTTTGCCCTGCAACTCTTCTTCTTGTGAGGATTACTACCCAGGCTCCCCGCCTGCTTTCAGCCTTCTGAGCCCAGAGCCTGAGCTGTGGCCAGAGCAGTAAGCACTTCTCCCAGGCGTCTGCAGTGCTATCTCACCTTGGCAGGTCATCTGGGTAGGACTAGATGAGCCAAATGGGTGAATGGATGTGGCCTGACATGCCATGCAACCTCTGGGCGGGGCACTACCTTCTGTACCCCACCTTCAGGGGTCCCCAGGAAGCACTGACCCTCTGCAGGTGGTGCCTGTAGTGTGGGGGGTGGTTGCTGCAATGATAGGCCACTGGAAAGAGACAGGTGGACAAGGGATGGGGGAGACACCCTGCTCAGGCTAGTTCTGCCCATGGCACTGGGCACTGACATCAAGGGCAGTCAGGGCATCGGCTGGGATGTGGCACCTCCCATTCAAGCCTGCAGATGAGTCTAGTGTGAATGCTTGGCTGCATGCACCTGCTGTTTCTACCTTACCCCGTGCTGCTGCCACCAAACTATGCTGTGAAAGATAAGCAAGCAACAGCAGCGTTGGAAAATGCCCTCCCTTATTGCTACCAGAAAACCTCTTGGAAGAGAACTCTCACTGTAGACAGGGAGGATACATATTGCAGTTCCTGTTCATTGCATTTCTTCTTTAACACCCCCCCCCACCCCCTGCACACCTCACTGCTTCTGCTCCCACACTTCTGAGTCAGTCCCAGAGATGAAGACTTTTTCCCCACTGGGATCATGGTGTGCGACTCCCAGTGGGAGTCGTTAGGAAATGAAACTACAACACCACAATGACTCCTAGAAAGTCCACAGCACTTGCTGAGTGTCACAGAGTACCCAGTGACCCTATCCCAATGTACCCTTGTCTTCCACTACGTTTACACCAAGCCTGTGGCCCCTCCCGCCCCCTTCAGTGGTGTACTCACCGAGCCTGCCTACAGCCTCGCATGCCCAGGTGTTCCTCTCCATCCTACCTGTGTTCTTGGCTAGTTGGACAGATGTCGTCCTCGGGGCAGCAGGCACTGTTGCTCCTTCTCTTAGTCAGAATGTGGACATACATTTCTCCTGGGCCTGACGGTCTCCCAGCTATCTGCTCTCCCAGTGGTACAGTACCCTAGGACACGCTGTGTTGGAAGCAGATGTCTAGCCATACATTGTAATGAGTGTGCCCCTGGAAGAAGTGCTACTGTTGGAGCAACTGGGTAATTAGGAGTGGGCTGATCTACCTGACACTTTGTCCTCATGGCTGTGGAGGCTGGGGGCCAGGAGCCAGGGGGTTCTGCGGAACTGTGCTGAGCAGGGCCCTTTCTGCAGCCTGGTCTGGCTGTGGGCCCAGCAGCACTTCCCAGAACCAGTGATGAGCTTCCCACCTGTGCTGCCTCTGTCCAATACCCCTATGCCCACCGGCCCAGACCAGCCACCACCCCCAGTTCCAGCAGATGAGTGTGGGTTCTGCTTTTCTCCAGACCATCTGCCCACTACCCCTCAGGGGCTAGTGTCAGCGCCGCCAGCCCCTAACAAATCATCACAGTAGGCGTAATTGTACAGCGATAATAAGTACATATTATAGTAAAGTCATAAAGAACACGAGAGATAGGAGAGAGAGTAAAATGAAGGAGTCAGACACATTTCATGGTAGCGTGCTCACCTCAGCTCCTTTTGGTGGTACAGGGCAGGAGAGAGAGAGATTTATTGCTAACGAAGGCTTATATATCTTTTGGGGATGTGTAAGCCCCCTAATTGAAGGTAAAGACATACATCACAGGAAAGGGTTGTACTATAGGTAATACAGTAATGGGCGGGGGACAATCTAGGGGTACACACGCTATAGGAAGAGGAGGGATTAAAGGTATACATGTGATAAGATGGACGGATCCTAGATTCAGGATGGCTGCCTAACTTTGGATGTCACTGAGCAGGTTTGACCTGTTCTCTGGCTCTCCATGGAAACAATTACTGTACTTATCACTAGGGTGCGAGCCCTACCCACAGTGGACCAGACGGATAGCTGAATGCCTTCAGGGAGAATATCTCTAAGCATCTGACCTCCCACCATGTGCTGGCAAACAGCCCCTAATGTTTGGCATCTCTTTGGGAGAGACAAAGCTGGGGAAAAGTCTCTTTATATCCCACAGGCTAGGGTTATTGTTGAGAGCAGAGTTGTCTAGCCAGCAAGCACCACTCTCTGCTCTATCAGCTATGAGCAGATGAGTAGTAGTGAGTGGCCACATGCGCATGGCCATTATCTACAGACGCCTCTTCAAGTTTGCATACCTGGGGAGGGTGATGTGTTAGGAGGGAGTCTGGGATCTTGGGCAGAGGTAACAGGGACTTTTGAATGCAAGAAAAGGACACAAGGGACAAATCGGAAGAAGCACTACTCCCCTAAACTTCCCATCCCATGAATCCTTCTTCCTCGGTTCTTCCTGTAATCCGCCCCTCTGAGGCCTGGGCCTGTGACTTAGGACCTACGCATAGCAGGTGCCTCCCACATAGCTTCACGGCTCAGGAGGTAGCAAAGCGTTGGCTGTTTCCCCAGCCCCTGGGTCCCCAGGCTCTCTTGAGTTGGCTTGGTGGTGGGCGTGTGTGCTGCGTTTCCCCTTTTGCTGTGTTACACAGGTGGAGGATATACTTTCCCTGTCTTGGCAGAATGGCTGGCCTAAAATACACACTCTTCTCTCCCTTCAGCCTCAGCCACTCGCCCAGCCGGCACCCCTCCAGCCAGTCCTGGCCTCACAGTCCCTGGGCTCACTCCAGCCGGTGCCCCCGCACCTGCCCCAGCACCTGCCTCCGTACCTGCCTCCGACTGCTCAGGTGATAACCCCCACACCACTGAAGCCCCTCCAGATGCCACAGGTGTCCTTGCCTCTGCTTGCTCAAGTTCCAGCTCCTCAGGTACCCACATGCCTCCATTCTCCATTGCTAGAACCCCTACCCACAGGCCGAGGTGCCAAGGTCCCTGTGGAGGCTGGCTCGCCATCGGTGGGTGGAAACCTGGGCTTTCTGGTCTAGGGATATAGGGGATGGTTCCACAGTAGGGGCCCATACATCCTGCCCGGTACCCCCCTGGATACTATGCCTGACCTCTTGACCCTCACCACATAGTGGGCCCTTCTTCCTGTACAAGTGGCCCTGCTTTCTGCCCTCTGCCTGACAACCTGTACACACTGACATGTTGTGGAGAATATCCCCTTAGCTTCTGTCCTCAGTCCCTATTTCTCTCCAACCTTTGAGGATCCTTCTCTGACCTTTCTTTAGGCTAGATTACTTTTCTGGGCTGTGAATGGTGAACTGAGTTCTGGATGCCTCCCCACCTCCCCCGGAGTCGTCAGGAACCTGCAAGTGATGGGGAGACCTAGTGGCCAGTTACCTTCTATTCCCAGCCAGCAAGATGCCCACCATCAGGGCTTTGAAAAATACCGTGGGCATCTATGCCAGGAGCATTCCCGTAGTAAATAGATTTAGTCCAGAGCTAAGTACAGAAAATGGGCCTAAAATGAAGTGCGTGTGCTGCAGAGCTGGACTGCTAGGAGAAACCCAAGACCTTACTGAGTGCCTTTCTCTGGGTGTCAGGCAGCATGCTGAGCGCAGTCCTAATCACAGTTAGGTCCACTAGGCTCAAGGGGCAAATGTCTCTGATGAACCCAGGCCATCTTTATAGTCTCTGATGGCCTGTAACAGACGTGGATGTGAGCAGTGTTGGCACCCCTCCCTGTCTAACGAGAGTTCGCACTGACAAACAGTTCCTGGACATCTGGGAGTATGTCTGAACTCGACCTCTAAAACATACCCCAATTTCAGCAATGGTAGAATCACATTCCGCTTCTTGATTCCACAGATGTGGTATCCCGTAAGGCAAGCACACGTTCCTGTACTACAGTTTCAGCAATGGTAGAATAGCATTCCGCTTCTTGGTTCCACAGATGTGGTATCC